GGGGGGGGGCGCTTCACAATTCTGTCACACAGTCATCTCATCAGGATCATGTGCCCGCTACCTTTGTCATATTCTGCTGGTTAGAAGCAAGTCACCCTCACGGGGAAGGGAGGTGACCACACAAGGACAGCAACACCAGAGGCAGGAATCGTTGGGGTCACCGTCAGTCTGTTCACCTCTCCTTGTTTTACTAGAGCTCTGGGGACCACCTCACTGGGTGGCACAAATAGATTCAGCTTTCCTTCCACCCTAAAGGTTGGTATCATGGTAGAGAGACTGGGTGTACCCCCTCATGCAGATTATAGCTGAGAGAAAAGACTACAGAGGTATTCGGCCCTGCCACCACGGGGTCACTGTGAGTCAGAACCCACCCCAGGGCACCTTGGCATGTGTGTGTGTGAGGGGTGGTGTTGCCCTTGTAGACAAAGGCAACAGTAATTAAATATGCCCCACGACAGGCTTATATCAGGAATTCCATTGTGTGTGTGTTTTTTTAAATCTACATAGGCCAACCCCTGCAGCCCCTGTACCCACTGAGAGGTGGCCCAGGACCCAGTTCACACTACCCATCAGTGGGTTTTGTGTGTGCCAGAGAGGGGAGTCACAGCGTCACCCAGTTGCCAATGCTTTAAATGGTTCAACATTAAAAGAAAAGTATTCTGCTTGCTTATCACCAACCCAGAGCATTCAATTACCTGGAAAATCCCCATTCCTAAAACGTTCGGGGAGCCTGGCCTGCTTGGGAAATCGAAAGCAGATTCCCCACCCCAGGCGTTGGCCAGCTACAGACTGGGCTGGGGATGAGCAGCCCTGGGATGGAGGGATCCTCCCCAGGCCTCAGGCTAGAGGGGGCTCTGACCTCTAGCCGCAGCCCTCTCTCTGCTGAGGGGGCTAAGCCCCTCCAGCTGTGTCCTATTGCTGCCCCGGCGCCCACTGGCCTCACGTAAGCCCAGTCACTGTGTCAAGACGTAATTGACGAACTGCCCAGGCCAGTCCAGGCTCGACTGAGCCCATCAGGGAGGAACAATGAGGGGCACCTCCGAGGACGGAGGCTATTTCTAAGGCTCATGGTTGATGGACCTCACTGGCTGTGATTATCATTTTAATTGCCAAGGCCAAAGCGACCTTATATTCAGGGTGCAGGTTTCAAAGACCACAAAGCAGTCAGCGGCTTGAAAGGGGACCAGGGAGCAGTCTGTGCCGGAGGCTGAGCACTGCCCATTTATGGCAGCTTTCGATCATATCTCCCAGAAATGAGAGGCCAGCATTCAGCCGTGTCTAGGTCCCAAGCCAGAGCCCCACCTCCTCTGAGACCCTTCCCCAACCCATGCTCCTTCCTGTCCTCTTGGGTGCCCTTGCCCACCTTGCCCCACCCTCTGCCTGGAACTCTCGTAGAAGAACACACTACCACGACCATTGTTCTGACCCAGAGTGACCTGATGCTGCGCAGAGTGAGGCCTGCCCAGCCCTGCGCCGTCCCCACAAGCGGTTCTGTATGTGAGCCCCCGTGTCAGGCCATTTCCTTGAGGACCTTCCTCTTTTTGCTGCCCTTGACCTGACCAGACATGGTGTCCTTCTCCAGAGACGGGTCTCTCTTGACAGTGTGTCCAAAGGATATAAGACGACGTCTGGCCACCCTTGCCTCTAAGGAGCACTCTGGCTGTACTTCTTCCAAGACAGATGGGTCTGTCCTTGTAGCAGTCCGTGATGCTTCCAGTGTTCTTCTCCAGCTCCGCCATGCGAACGCACCTGTTCTTCTTCCGTCTGCTGTATTCACTGTCCCGCGCTCACATGTGCACGAAGCCATGGAAAACACCCTGGGTCAGGCACAGCGGGTTCACGTAACGCAATGTGTCGTTCGACTTGCTGCCTGCTGCTGCCATGAGCATTGAGTGTGGATCCAAGCACGACCAAATCCTTAACAACCTCGACCTTTTCTCCCCTTTTCGTGATATTACTTAGTGGTCAAGTGGTGAGGATTCTGGCCATCATTACAGTGAGCTTGTAATGTATCCTGAAGGCTGCAATCCTGTTCTTCACCGGGACGTGCCGACACCTGCACCTCTCAGGTGGTCTCAGCCTTCGTCCTGTCCCGATGCCACAGTCTTCTCACTTAAACCGCCTCTCTGAGGCTCTGCGGGGCACACAGATCGCATAAGCATGGTGAGAGGATGCGAGCCCGTCTACACCTTTCCTGATGTGAAACCATGCGCTCTTCCCTCGTTCTGTTCTCATGGGTGGACCCAAAAGGGGAAACGCAAAGCCCCCACAGAACTCTGACCTCTGCTCTCACTGCCGTCACGTCGATCCTGACTTAGAATGACCCTGTGGTTTGAAGAGGGTAACTCATGACGGAGTAGGAAGCCGCCTTGTCTCTCTCCCTGGGAGCCTGCCCTCCACACCCTCGTTGACATCCTCAGTGGCACCGGCCATGCCTCATACTCATTAGTTTCCTTGTTGGCAACGTTCTCCGCACATTGTAGACACGCTTTTCAGAGCAGAATGCTCACCTATCAGCAGAATGCTCACCTGTTAGTTTTTGTTTCCTTTTTTGAGGGTTGAGCAGTCTAGTCCTTACAAAGCCCTCATATTTTCTACATAGTACAAGCTCACGAAGACCACCAACCTCTGGCTGTTGAGACCATCCCAGCTCCTGGGGGCCCCATGTGTCATACAGGGTCTTCTGGGCTGTGCTCATTACAGGGCCCCATCACCAGACCTTTCTACTGCAGTGTCACTGGGTAGGTTTGAACAGCCCACCAAAAGCCAAACTCATTGTTGTCATCAAATTGTTTCTGGCTCATAGCGACCTGATAGATTAATAGTTGAGCACAAATCATGCCACCAAAAATAAAAATCACGAAAGAGAAACCCCCAAATCTTCTGTCGTCAGGCTGATTCTGACTCCTGGTGACCCTGTGCAGAGTGTCCAAGACCGAATCTATGGACAGACTGCCATCTAGCTCCTTAGATACAGCTGGTGGGTTTGAACTGCTGACCCTCGGGTGACCGGCGCCACACCTATCCCGCATCAGGACCATATTCTTCACATACGTGAGCTGTTGTGATGCTGGAGAATCCGTGCTACTGACCTGGGCTCATGGCTTGGCACAGTCACCAAAGCCAAAATAGGTCCACTATTCCCAAGGGTTTATTTTGGTTGGTTTGTTTTAAGTCAAATATAGTTTACATGTTTGGATTTTATTTAACTTTTTATGTGAACTGGGTGAAGGTTGACAGAGCAAGTCAGTTTCCCATCCCATAGTCAATGCACATTGTTTCTCGTCATTGACTGCAATCCCCACAATGTAATGTCCCTGCTTCCTGAGCATTGTCCCTCAGAGAATTGAGTTTTCTAGAGTGTAAGCCTGCCTCTTGTTATTGTCGCCTGAGACACCTGTCTGTTGTTTGGCAATGGGGGCGAGTTCATTGTCAGACCTTAGCGGTGACTGAGGCTCCTATTCTTGTGCGTTCCCTCCATCTCTGTCCAACCAGTCAGCCTGGTCTCCCTTATGACTTGCACCCCCTCTGTCCCACATTTTCCACCTCCTGTGTCCAGGAACTTCCCGGTGATCCCTTTGAGAGCAGTTGGTAGAACTGCTAGGAGAACTGGCTGGCCACCGTCTAGCTCCCATCTCAGGGTCCTGCAAACAGATTCCGCCGGCCTCATTGCGTCCATCTGCCCTTTACTCGCTCTCTCTTGTTTTGGGAGGTGTTGCACTGTAGAGGGCTGTTCAAAAATTCTTCAGGCTCTAGTCCTTACTCACCAAAGCAGGCTGCGGACCATTGTCTGTGTGCACTGTGTCCCGCCAGTTGACCCGACACTGTGGCCGTGGGCCCAGTCTCATGCTCCTTCCCTCACGGTGTTCGCTGTGGCTAAGAAGTTTGCCCCGCTCCATTCCCTGCGTGCTCCACCGTAGTCACAGAGGTACTTGCACAAAGATAAATACGCGTGCACAGAGATTCTGTGTCAAACAGATCTTTATTCGTGGGTATAGCTCCTCTCTCCTCCCCACACCTGCTCAGCCTGCAAATATGCCTGTGCCTCCACTCGTAGATGACTGTTAGGGCAGGAGGGTACTCAGAGAAGTAGCTACCTCTGCTGCCTTATTGAGTCAAGTATGTGCAGGGACAGGGCAGGGCAGTCAAAGCCACCCTCATTAGTGGACAGCCCTCTGGGTTTTGACAAATGCACACAGCTGCCTGGCTTCTTTAGCCAAGAGTCCCAGCACACGTGAATCAGGAGCTTTTCCATCCTGTTTGTGGTAGCTTGAATTCATTGTCTGCTGGACCCCTGAGCTGATGCCAGGAAATCCTCTTTCCCTCATGCCAACCGGCCTGGGAGCCACCATCCAGACTAGTTCCAAGGTAGCAGCTCTGCCGAGGGGGGCTCCTGAGCCAGAAAGGAGTTTCCCTGCCGGTGTGAGAGACCTGAATGTGAGAACATGATTGGACCGTACGTAACCAGACCATTTGGATAACTCTGCAGGTAGACCTGGCCCATCGCCTCGGTTGTTGTGTGGGTCAGCCAAGCGGGCAGCAGCACTGGGTGCAGAGTGTCAGAGGCCTCACTGAGAGGGGCACGTGCCTTATCCACCGTCATCTCCAGCACAGTTCACCGGTGTGGTGGAATGAGTGCAGCTGGTGGGGGATGCGGCGGGGGTGGGGTGGGGTGGAGAGGGCACTGTGCTGCTGTAGAGGAATATTTCCTTGCCCTCCCACATGACTGGAGACCTTGGAGAGAAACCCCACTTTCTCACCTGTCTGCCCTGCATGTGACCTCAGCGGCCTCCTCACCTCTGTCCTTACAGAACTACTTTGAGAGCTACCTCGCTGTTGCCTCCACCGTGCCGTCTGTCCTGTGCCTCATGGCCAACTTCATGCTGGTCAACAGGTATGTGCATCCCCCATCACTCCCTCCCCAACCACTCACTCCCTTTTCATCCACAGCTGCCTTTTCCTACCTGTTTAAACGACGGTGTCTTAGACTGGGTTCGCTAGAGAAGCAAACAGTGAAATGCCTCGCAGAGTTGGAGCGGCTGGCAAGTCCCAACTCCATGACTGGAGTTTCTCCTGGTTCACATAGCTGCAGGGGCCTGCAAACCCAAGATTGGTAGTTAGGATGGCAGGCTGCTGGCTCACAACCTACAGAGTTGAACGGATCTCAAAGTCAGCAGGCAACGTGGCAGGCTGTTGGCTCACATCCCAAGAATTGGAGGCCAGATGATGAAAGTTAAATGCAGGATCCGAAGCGTGCAGAAGGCGAGATAGCTTTCCCAAGATGTCTGTATGTTGTCAGGGCAGGTCACACGCCTTTACATTGGATCAGAGATTGGAACTGGATTAAAGGTATTGCATCCTTCCCTAATCTCCTTATGTTGGATCAGAGTCATGACCTGAGTCAGGCTGGTACATCCTACCCAGACCCCTAATATCAAATCAGGGACGATGAGATAATGGGGAATTATTGCATCATTACATAACTGCCATCACTTCCTATTGACCAAACCAGAGACTCATGCCACTGCCAAATTGACACATCACCTTCAGTATCACAGGTGCTACCAAAACAGGAGACGGACAGCTGAGACACATCCAGGAAGATCCAGAAGTCAGATCCGCTAGGTGGAGCTGGTTAATGGAATCCCTAGTCGGGGCTGGGTGGACATTGTCCAGCTACATCGTGGCAGTAGCCTGTGGAAGGTCTTCCTCCTGGATTCTCTTCGGGGAGCGCTGGCCTTGCAGCCAGTGGACACCACATGGACAGTGGCATGGAGCCCGAGACCAGGCATTCCTGAGAAGAGCCTGGGCTCCCCCAGCTTCAGCTTCAGCTCACTCTTCTATTGATATTTGTCTCCATTTTATTTTGTTACTGCTTTTAGCTTTTTTATTTCTTTGGTTTTTGCTTTGGTATCTGAAATCCAGCGTGGGTGAGTCTATAGAGACAGTAACTGGACCAATGGTGCCCTGGGGGTGTGGCCAGGGGAACTAATAACTAATAACAAGGAGGAAGAAAATGTCTTAAGATTGATTGTACAGCTCTTCTTACCATGATGGAGCTATAATATATGGATTACGTCTCACTCAAACTTTAAATAAATTATTAATTAAACATCAATTCTTTAGAAAGAAGGAAAAAAAAATATAGTCACTGTACCCAAGAGAACCAGTTGACATTTATCCATTTCAGGAGGTAGCATATGAACAAGAACCAATGGTACTGAAGGAAGCAGCTCAAGTTGTACTGCAAGCATTAGCCAAAGCAAGGGTCCAGGGATTGATGAGCTACCAACTGAAAAACTTCAACAAGCTGATAAGGCGCTGCAAGCATTCATTCGTCATCTAGGCCAGGAAATTTGGAAGACAGCTACTTGGTCAACAGACTAGAAGAGACCCATGTTTGTACCCGTTCCAAAGAAAAGTGAC